CAATCCGCAGACGGAGGATCAATTGCTCCAAGTTCATTTCCTTTCGCTTATGCTTAAGGTAGTTCTTGAAATCCTTCCAAGCCGGCGGCAATAAATGGATAATTGACGCCACTTGGAAAGACTCACTAACTGTCATTCCTTCATCTCGAATTTCGTTGAAGATCATTTGCATTTCCTCAACTTGACTCAAGTCCGTCTTCGAATCCATCAATTTAAAATCAAGGAATCGACCAACAACAAATTTCTTTGCGCCAGCATCCTCGCTTTTATATTTGTGGTCCAAAGCATTCCATAGCTCTTTAGCCGTAGCTAATTTGCTATACACGTCGTACAAAGCATCATGCAGCCCGTTTAACACATAGTTTCGGCAAAGGAAGTCAGAATGCTTCCAAGCTTCAACCGCGTTAAAAGATTGCGCATCCATCTCACCCCCGGTTGCTACCGGCGCATCTTCGGTCAAGAACCTTGCAAGACCGAGAGTAGTGAGATAGAATAGCATCTTTTGCTGCCACCTCTTGAAGTTTAACCCGTTAAATTTTTCGGGTTTCTTCACAGAGTTGCTCGGCACGGTAACCATAGGGATTGCCCCTTGGTTGCCCAAAGTAGATGCACCGCGTTGTGAACCATTGTTCACCGGTGCTCCACTTTCGGTTTGATTATCGTTTAGCACGTTCTGCCCATCAACATTTCCAATTTCTTGCGAAGCCATTTTAACCGTATCTCTTATGAACGTTATTCGCAGACGGAGGGATAGATTTTTGGACGGCATTCGTGTCCGCAGGTCGCCCGCGCATACGAGTCACGATTTTTCTTCTCCGTTTCGGGATTTGATCGGCACCCCCCTGTGCGTAAGAGAGAGCCTTTCCCTTTAGGAATCTTAACTTCTTAAAAGCAGCTTCCCTTTGTCGCCTCCCACGGTGCTAGGAGCGTTGCAACGACCGTTTCCAGGGATACGGTGGCTAACGAACGATCGTTTGAGCACACAAATGAAAGTCCCGGCAAACTGGAACAATAGCAGAACACTAGGGAAATTTGGGAGTAGCTGGAAGAGCTTTTTAGCTCAAAAAAACGTGAGGAAAGTATTGTGCGTTGTCAAACCGTGTGTTTGTTGCAAAGCACCTGCCAGCTATTTATAGGAGGATTTGTTGTGTGTTAAATGGGGTGTTAATGGACCTGAACGTTGGACATCAATGACCAGTCCATTGGGCATTGAATCGTCCATAAACTGTCCATTTAACGCAGCATTAAACGAGAAGAACGTTGGGCATTAAATGTTGTAACGAAAGAATTGCGCGACAGAAGACCCCAACAGAACACCCCTTCGAGGGGTTCTGTACGAAGCCAACAGAACACCCTTCGAGGGGTTCTGTCCGTAGCCAACAGAACACCCCTTCGAGGGGTTCTGTCCGTAGCCAACAGAACACCCCTTGAGAGATAGATTTTTGGACGGCATTCGTGTCTGCAGGTCGCCCGCGCACACGAGTCGCGGTTTTTCTTCTCCGTTTCGGGATTTGATCGGCACCCCTCCCCTGCGCGTAAGAGAGAGCCTTTCCCTTTAGGAATCTTAACTCCTTAAAAGAGGCTTCCCTTTATAAGGGGGTGAAAATCCCTTGAGTTTTTCGGTGTGGGATAAAACACACTAGAAATTCACAATTTTCCCAGTTTTTCCATTTCAACGAGCGAACTTCGAGAATCAATTTCTCATTCACCCGTTATCCGTTTTGAGCGTACCATATATCGAATTGTAGCCCTTAACAAGGACAATCCGAAACCACTTTAACCCGACCCAAATCGGAAGTGGACCCCACTCAAATAATTGCCCTAAAATGACCATTTAATGCAATTTTAACACATTTTTCCAACAATTAATGTAATGCTTATTCATTTGCTTTACGAAACATGCACTAGCTCATCAAATTATTCGGCGGAACACCATATTTATTATTGACTTTATTTGATATTTCTAATATTATGATCGTCAACGTGTTCCCGTTGATCCAATTTGTGTCCCGGATTTGTTCTGTTTTTAGCAACAATATAATGAGTATAAAGTGCAGATGTTTGATCTTTTGAGTTGATTGGGTTGCGTTTGCATTGGGGTGGTGCGGTTACATACAAGAGTCGTCACTTCGATTGGCGGCTTATAGAACCGCCACTTTGACTGGCAGCTTATAGAACCGCCACTTCGAGTGACGGATTTTATTAACCACGGTTAACTAGAGCAGTACTTTGAAAATTATTTTTAACACAAAAGTATTTTGAGAATAGCATTAATCCGGGAAAAAGCCCACCTCTAACCCCCTAATATCGAATCAAGAATGAGTGTTGCTATTTATTACAAGTATGAAAAAGTGAAATTGTGTAGTTCATACATATTTTTCTTCATGCGTCACAACATCACATCACCCGTGAATGATCAATAAGGCTTTTTCCTAATAGTAATTATCAACGAAAATCTAAAACATCTTTTCACGTCTAGATTTCGCTTACTTCCGCATAATCTTCAAAGGCTTGAGACTCATACTCGACACGTTGCCAAGTTTCACACTTTTTTATAAACACTACTCATAGTTTATTACTCTCTTTTTCAAAAAGTGTGATTCATTAGATTTAACACTGATTTTACAATGCAAAAATACAATCATATTTTGAGTAAGAGAAATGATATCCCCGTGAATCACAAAACTTGACTTTCACGTAAAATAATAATGTGAAAATTTTATGGTTGAGATTTTTGAAGATGAAGGAGAAATAATTTTAAACACAAGATTTTTGGGACAACTAAATAAAGAATTTTAGTGAAAAGAGTGAATTTGGCAAAATCCTATGGGAAAAGGTAAAATTATAGTTGAAGTAATATGGAGAGTAAAAACAAGCATCTCAAAGAATGGTACAAGTGAAATGATGAGAAGTTACCAAAGTAAAACATTGCAGATGTTTTCTTAAATTGATGTACCATTATTTTCTTTCCAAAATAAGCATTAGGTACTCAGAGTATTTTATATTCTCATTGAGCGTATTTTAATTGAGTATAATTTGATTAATAAGGTGTTTGCAATTGGTTTTGATAATGCTACTAATAATACTGCTGCTATTCCTAGATTGCGTGAATTGTGTGGTTCATCTTCTTTGATGGGTAGGTTTTTTCATCAGAGTTGTGCATGTCATATTTTAAATTTATGTGTAAAGGACGGCCTAGCGGCGTTGGGAGATGCTATGGAGGTGGTGAAGGAAGGAATTAAACTTATTTGAGCTAGTTCTCAACTTAAGATGCAATGGAGAAATTATTTGAAAGAAAGACGTGTCAAATATTGTGCTTTTCCTAAAGATTTGTCTATTCGTTGGAATAGTACTTATAACTTAATTAAGGTGCTTATTAGATTTAAAAATCATTTTCCTGCTTTTTAAAAAGAATATGCTAACTATATTATAAACCCGCCCGACATCGACACTTGTGAAAAAGTTTTGAATGTTTTGGTGTATTTTAATAATGCAACTCAAACTTTTAGTCATGTTTATAAACCTACCGCAAACCAATTTTTTGTTGAAGGTGTTAATCTCGTCGGCGCTTTTTGTGAATTTGTTGATGCCGCTTACGTTAGTTATTTTTGTGGCTTCATGAAACAAAAGTTTTTAAAATATTATTCCTATATTCCGCAAATATATAGTATTGCATTTATTCTTGATCCTCGTTTTAGACTTGGTGGTTTAGAGCAATGTTTAGATTACTATTATGCTTCTTTTTTTGGGTCATTGCCTATGTACGACGACAATGCTATAGACCCGAAACAACAATTTCAAGAGGTTAGTAATTTATTATATCAATTATTAAATGAGTTTCATGCACAATATGGTAACACACCCCCTCCCCGCCACGAACATCTTCTTCATCTAAAGGAAAATCAATTTTGAAATCTGCATTTGGCAATCTTATGAAAAAAAGTAAATCAACTCCGGTTAATGAACAAAGCTCGATCAACGAGCTTTCTTTGTATCTAACATTTCCTGTTGAGTATGAAGAAGGGGATGACTTTGACGTTCTTCAGTGGTGGAAGGAAAAAGAGAGAACGTTCTCGATCTTATCAAAGATGGCTAAGCAAGTGCTAGCAATGCTCGTATCAACAGTTGCTGTTGAACAAGAGTGTCCTAACGGATTATAGGACGAGATTGAGCGCAAACTCTCTTGAGACGCTTGTTTGCTTCCACGATTGGTTGAAGGCCAAACGTAGAACTCAAGAAATTAGCATTGAACCCACCCGCCACTTTATGGAAGAAACAACTGAAGATGGCGGAAATTCTGATTGATTCTTATTTATTAAAAAGTGTATTTCATGTTGTAATTTTTGCTCAATTTCCAATTGTACTACATATTTCAAATTAATACAGCTTAAATTTTTATGTCCAACTAATCTGAATTAAAAAAATAAATAAATAAATAGCCCGGGCTCGGCCCGGCCCGAACCGGCCCACAACCCGGTCGGGTAGGCCCGACCCGGACCGGACCCGGTATCACCCCGGGCCGGTTCCGGGCCCATGATTCTACAAAAAAAGCCCGCCCAGACCCGACGCGGAACCAGACCGGGTCCATCCCTAGGCACTCTTCGTTGGTGGGTAAGAAAAGTTTGATTTAAAAAAAATGACAGCACATTATTTTAATCAAAACATTGCACTTTTTTATTTAAATAAAATGTGTTTGTGTGTGTGAATAAAACATGTGTGCCCCAATGTAGATGATTTTGCAAGTGAGACAAAAATAAATAATACTCCGCAAGTTAAGAAGAAAGGCATGTCATCTCGCACAAAAGGGACATAAAAAGTACTCCCTCCGTCCCGCTAACAATGAGACAAAAGAGAGTGACACGCAAATTAATAAAAATTGATTTATGTGGTTGATAATGAATTGATAAAGTAAGAATAAAGTAAGAATGATTTAGAGCCACACAAACTTTGCCAAATTTGGTATGAGACAATCTTAGTGCGACGGACCGATAAGGTAAAACGGGGCAATCATAGCGGGACGGAGGTAGCACTACGAAAAAACACGGTGATCGAAGGTCGAACCATTAATCCATTCCAAATAGAAAAGAAAAAAGGAAAAGAAATGCGTTATAGTTATATTTGCTGAACTAATCAAAGTTTCGGGCATTCTTTCCAATTTTTCAACCATATCAAAACCAGAAAGATATGGTTGAAGGCTTGGATGTTGTTGTATCAAAAGCAGAAAGATTTTGTATAAGGGAGGGTGGGGGGGAGGGTGAGGAATTATTACTTAGCCATCATAACCTTAACAAACTCATCATAGTTGATTTGCCCATCACCATCAACATCGGCCTCGCGGATCATTTCATCAACTTCTTCATCTGTAAGCTTCTCCCCAAGGTTAGTCATCACGTGGCGTAGTTCAGCAGCGGAGATGAAACCATTCTGGTCCTTGTCAAAAACTCTAAACGCCTCTTTCAGCTCCTCCTCAGAATCAGTGTCTTTCATCTTCCTCGCCATTAGATTTAAAAATTCTGGGAAGTCAATCGTTCCATTACCATCGGCATCCACTTCATTTATCATATCCTGGAGCTCAGCTTCAGTTGGGTTTTGTCCCAAAGACCTCATTACCGTCCCAAGCTCCTTGGTAGTTATGCAGCCTGTAATAATACCAAGACATTTCCTTCCAGATATGAACACAAACACAATAATTTATTCCATGTATACTACAGCTATAAGAAGTAATCAAAGTTAGGCATGCTAATAGAAACACAGAAGAAAACCCGGGGAGAAGTATACTTAGTCCTATTGTTATATTGGGCCTAACTCACCCTAAAAAGATCCTCAGAGTGAGGTTTACTTACACTTCAATACAATTGCATACAAAACTAGACTCAAACTTAGTGAACAATGGTTCCAGGATACTCAACACCCACATTGCCCAAGCAGGATTAGACAACTAAACAACTGAAACAAGTCATTCTGCTGGCATCAAAGCCTCAAAGGCACGTTTAAGAGTCGTCTTTAGTAACTTTGCCACCTAGGCTCAATGATATGTAACGGAAGAATTCCAGTAGATAATCTTAGTTTATTAATGAAGATTTATGGATGGAATACAGAAAATAACGTAAGAAAAGGTAGAGACTCTTCGAGTGGTCTCACACTCCCAATTTCCCAGTCCTGTTCCCAAATTCTGCCAGCCCCTCTACTCACCACTCACACTTATTTATTCTATTTCTAATGGGCCAGCTCACTTCTAATTAGTTATAGGGCCTAAACCCTATTATTGAACAAAATTAAAATGACTTAATAAGGCTCTAATTATTGGTAGTGTCCGGGTCCCTAACACTCAACTACTACCATGGTTTCCGGTGGTCACTATGGGCAATTTATCATTTTATTGCTGCCGTGTTTTTTCAGGGTCGATGTTGATGGACCAAGTTTGGCAATGGAGCACCGGTGGCGGGCAACACATCACTGAGTTTGCGAGGTTCCACCAGAACTGTGAAGGCGTGGGTCCTGACTCCTGGTTCATAAAAAACTACTCCCTCCGGTCCTAGATGAAATTCACACTTTGACTTCACACAAATTAAGGAAATAAATTTGACTTTACTGTAGAGTACACTGTTTGACACTGTTTGGTACTGTTTTGCACTGTTTTTATGTAGATAATTTGCCAAATAAGGAAGGGAGAATTAGTGTGAAGTTTATTTTGGACCTACCCAAAAAGGAAAGTGTGAATTTCATTTGGGACCGAAGGGAGTATATAACTAAATGGGTGGAAAAATTGGCCCTAACCAAGTCTCAAATGTGTGGCCAAGCCACACCAACAATTATCAGACCAGGTTCTTATACCATGCTAAATTGAGCTAAAGGATTCTAAAGATGTGAGGCTTACTTTACCATCATAGACTCAACCCGACATCTTTAACAACGATATTGGGTAGTTAGTATTAGGGGTGCAAACGAGTCGAGCCAAGCCCGAACATGGGTATGCTTGAGCTTGAGCTTGATAAGAATTCACGAGCTCAAGCTCGATCTCGAGCTTTGACGAGTTAAATAATTCGGGCTCGAACACGAGCCGAGCTTCGCTCGAGCTCAATTCGAGCTCTGTTCGAGCTCGGGTCAAGTTTTGCTAATTACTTTTATAGGTTCGAGCTCGAATAAGATGTTCGAACTCGAGCTAAAAATATAATATGTGTACTTATTCATTCTCATTTTTAGTTTATCTCTCTTTACTGACACTTTTATTCTTTATTTTACTGTCAATAAATATTACGGTTACATATTATAATTATTATAGATTATGGTTATAATAGTAATACTACTTACATGTTATTATTTTTGTAATAATTACTATTATAATATACTTCGTGATAAGTATTGAAAATGCAATAGTCCTAAATCAGAATACATATTCCCAAAAAAAGTATATATATAATCATTACATTTATAATTATTATATACTATCCCTCGTTCCATAAAAGTTGCAACAATTTGACTTTCACGCTTGCCAACGCGCAACTTTGATTGTAATCATATTTATTTACGTATTAGTAAACATTAAAAAAAATTAATATATCGGAAATTTACATTATTACAAATTTATTAATATTTTATACATAATATTTTTATTATATATATTATTAGAAAATCGTAGTCAAAGTAAGGTGTGTGAATAGTGTAGAAATTCCAATGGTGCAACTTTTATGGAACGGGGGAAGTATAAAATATGACACAAAGGCTCGCAAACGGGCTCGCGAGCCCACAAGCCTAAAATAAATAGGCTTGAATTGAGCTTGTTAACTATTCGAGTCGAGCCGAACTTGAGTTGAGCTTAATATGAACAAACTCGAGTCGAGCTTTTCCCGAGCGATCCACGAGCAGTTCGTGAGCGGCTTGGCTCATTTACACCCCTAATTACAAACATAGCAATTATGTTTTCATACATCACAATATCACACCGTTACAATAACAATAATTATGCAACACTTTAAATTATACATAACATAAATTCTAATATTCTCTAAGAAAGATGCCAATTTCATGGAACTAGTTCTGAACGGGTCTTTCTACAAAAATGTTATAAAAAACGATCATATGATGGAATTGTCTTGTTGAAATTTTGGAAACAATTGTTTAGGTGTTTGTGCCTTAAAAATAAAGATACGCAAATTATTTTATAGAATTCGAGAAGACCATGATAATGCACCTAAAGCTGTGTCAGACCATGATAAGAACAACCTTCACAGCTTACAAAAATGAAAGGTGTATCAGACATGTATATTGACATAATATTTTTCTCTAAATGTGGGCCTACGCTATAGCTAGTAAATCCCTTCCTCCACTGTAAAGTTTGATGCTTTGATAGTGCAAGCTGTTAGAACTTTGAAGTTGGTATGACTGTATGAGGATATTGTGTTTGTGAAATTAGTAAAAAGAAAATAAAAAGTGCAAGTTATTATAAATTAGATCTGAGTTATTAATGGCGGGTGCCATATTATGGCGGATTGCCAAAATTCCACCATATAGGGCCACCATAAAGTGCAACTCTACACAAATTTCATATAGTGGTCAGCAACATTTCCAACACCGAGACACCGAGTACTTGGAGTGCGAATTTAGAACACTAAACATAATTGTCATAATGACTAAACATAATGAACTGTGAAATCACGTGAAATAAAGTTACTAAAAAGGTATGAAAGAGATGAGCATTTCAAGTACTTCGTAACTACGATCTATTCATCCAGCATCTAAAAAAGTAAAATTATTGATTAATAAATGTGACACGAGGATTAATGGCAGACTATTAAAACAGAAATGAACCTCACGGGTATTTAGTAACCATGCTAATAGAGAAGCCGAGAAGGAAATCTCAATAAAACTGTATTAAGAAAGAGAGAATAGAGAAAATGGGTGGAAATAATCTGTATTGTGATAAGATCATAAGATGGATATAGGATAACACTGGGAAAGTTATATTCTGATCCGGGCAAAGATGAAATAGCAAGAATAAAGATAAGCAACTTGTACCACTAGCTAGGTCCAAGAATACTAGAAAAGAAAAAACAGCCTGATCCCAATTTTGTTGATTTGAAAATGTTGTAGAAAGGTCAAAGGTGAATACCCCCTGAATGTTGAACCAGGAAACTTGAAAAAATCAACGAAATCTATACACAAGGAAGCACATTGGTGCACATGAAGTGCATTGGTGCACATGACGTTCAATTAGAGAGAAATCACAGGCAAGGATAATGCCAAAACTGTCAAAACACAGTTCATAGATTACACTAATCAACAGTGGAAGAAATGGGGACTTGGGGTGCTTCTGATCCCCAAAAACAGTATTAATACTTGATTGTTATATATGTGCCCTACTGCCCTACATTCTCAGTAAATATTACTCCCTCCGTCCCGTTGAAAGGTTCCCGTGGGTGAACGACACGATTTTTTGGCAAGTGGTTAAATAAACTAATTTGGCTAAAAAAGAGAGGAAAGAGAAAAATTAGAAAAAGTAAACATATAAAGTGAAGGTAATTAAAGGGAGATAAGTTGGGGGAGGGGAAATTGTGAGACTTGACATGTAATGAGTGGGAAAGAGAAATTTGAGTAAAGATGTAATTAAAGAAAGTAAATTATATTCTAAAATGGAATAGGAGCCTTTAAATGGGACACCCCAATAAGAAAAACTTGGCTGTTGTATTACTTTTAACTGGACAGAGGGGGTATCAATTCTTAGGTGAGAGCTAGACTTGGCTGTTGTAAGAGTGGCTTCCAAGGAACACTGCTAAGGTGAAGAAGAACAAGAGACTTGGATGTTGTAAACCTGGCTGCCAAGGAACGCTGCTAAGGTGAAGAAGAACAAGAGACTTGGATGTCACTAAAACCAAGTGTCCATAAAAAATCAGACAACTGCGGTTAGGGTTCGGTTTTTTCTTTTAAGAAGCACAGTTTTCTTATTTATAAATTATAACCATCCAAAACAGAGTCAACCGAAACCAGAATGGTTAACCCGATTTCGCTGAAAAATCTCTAATCGGGAGACCCAAACTAACTCAAGTTGACATTTCTTCCTAACCTAAATATGTTTAATAGATCCGAAGCTCGAGACTCGTTTACAATACAAAGATTAGAGTACCAAAAATGATATCTAACAGTGCATAAATAACATATCTTAGAAGAAGAATCCAGCATTTCGTTAAGAAAATGAATTAACAAGAATGATGAAAAATGAATAAATCATTTCTCTCAGAAGAATCTTGTCTTTCAGTTTGAGCATGAAACAAATAGTATGAGGAAAAAATGAGCTGAAACGTAAGCCTTGCCTCTATAATCATAAGCATAGAATCAAATCAATTTGGTTTTACAAAACACTACTGTGGGAAAAAGACGCGTGTCTGTGAGATTGAAATGTGAAAATCGAGCAGATCTGTGCATAAAAATGAATGGAGAACCAACAAGCCTATGGTGCAGAATTACAAATTAAGCCAGAGATAGAAAAGCAAACCGTCGCCGTCCTTGTCGAAGAGACTGAAAGCCTCCTTGAACTCTGAGATCTGATCGTCAGTGAGCTGATCCGCCATTTCTGTTGATTACTGTTCTACGGGTGGAACTGAAAGACAGGTCGTCGAGAGAGAGGTGTTTCAGGTGATTGGTGAATATAGCTCGACAAGAGATTCTGATATGAAATGGGCAATGGGTCGGAATGTCGGATACTCGGATTTGATAGGTTTGCGTAGTGTACTTGTGCCATGATTTTTGTATAAGTTGTACACAACTTGATACAACTTTACACAAAATGTGGGTCACAGACAATTGGTACGGAATTGTCTGTACACACAGATAAGACTTGTCTGTATACACAGACAACTTTTATCTGTGTCCACAGGCATTTACTTTTTATAAAAAGTAGATTGACAGTCGTCTGACATTGACATCAGCTTGCAAATCAATCAATATATGTGCAATGCATGTGTGCACAGACAATATTTTCATGTTGCACAGACAATTATTTGTGCGTCTCACAGATAATAGTTACTGACAATTATTTGTGCGTCTCACAGACAATTATTTGTGCGTCTCACAGACAATGCTATTTATGCAATATTTACCACATAGATAATAGTTGTGCGTCTCACAGACAGTAGTTTGTGCGTCTCACAGACAATAGTTACTGACAATTATTTGTGCGTCTCACATACAATTATTTGTGCGTCTCACAGACAATGCTATTTGTGCAATATTTACCACACAGACAATAGTTGTGCGTCTCACAGACAATAGTTGTCTGTGTGATCAACTTTAGTTGTCGATGTGATCAATTTCAATTGTCTGGGTGAACAAAAAATTTAATTGTCAATATATATCCAAATGAATGATGTAGTTGTATGTGTGATAAATTTACATATATTTCAAAAAAATAAAAAATTAATAAAAATAGATGGAATAAAATGAATAAACTGATTTTGTGGAAATAATATAAAAAAAATTGATATAAAAAGGTAGAGAAAAAGAGAATGAAGAAGGGATGAGAAAGATGAAGAAAGGAAGATGGTCTCTAATTTTTTTGAGATATTCCAATGGAGGAAAGAGAGAAGGGAGAGGGGGAAAGAGAATAGAGAGAGAAGGAGAAGAAGGAAATGAGATTTTTTTGGGGTCCTTTTATATGGTGTACAATTTGTGTAACCCATATGTACACTTAGCATTTTCCTTTTTGTATTTGGTACACACTTTTGTACATACTTTTACACAAATACAGACATTTTTTTGTCTGTACAGACAAAAAAATGTCTGCACAAACAGTGTGTACCCCAAAAAGTGTATAAAAGTGTGTGCCCCAAATCCATTTGTTTTTGTATGAAGAGCTTACATTTAATATCACAGCATTCAAACAGGGGGTAAAACGACAAAAGGACCACATACAACCGTCATCCTTCGATCCTGACTTAGAGTCAATCATCTTGAAAAAGAAATATGACTTGTTGATCCTAAAATGGGCATAAATGAGGCAACGACTGTTAATGCAGGTCTCTCGTCACTTACTCCTAATGCAAGAGTCTTACAGAAATAAAAGTGATCAACAGAAAAATAAACAGTTTGAGCATGAAAAGTAAATAGCAAACAAATAGTAAAACTAGAATGCTGCTTCCAAACACTAGACTCTCTTGCACTTCATGGCGACGAATCATGAGGGAGACGATCTAGCATTATTGTAGCTTCTTCCTCACCTTGCCTCTTATTCATCATGTTCTCTATCATGCCTCCTCTGTCACCACCTAACACGGATGACCTCGATTCCATATATGTTCCAACCTCTAACTCCACGTTTCGTCCATGACTTTCTGGTCTCAGACATGTACGACGTCCTCGAAGCTCTTCACCTGCTGCCAGAGGTGCACAACCTATGACCGCCGGTAGGGCCGGTCCTAAGAGTTTTTTGGTCTGAGTCGAACTATAAAAAAGGCCCTCAAGAATTTTTGGGGAGGAAAGTTCATGTTCGGAATTCCAGACAGGAACCACCATCCGGACGGCGGTGCTTGGACGCCATCCGGATGGCAACGCTTGGCCGCCTTCCCGGTGTATTTTTTTAATGAAATTTTTATGTCATGTTCCTCATAAAGTCTAGTTTATCCACAAAAAATGTCAGCTAAAAATTCGATCGGAAAGGCCGTCAAATGGTTTTTTCAAGATAACTGCGCCAAAATATACATATAAAACGCAGTTAACTTCCAAAAATTATTTGACGGCCTTCACGGTTGTATTTTAAGCAGAATTCGTTTGTGGATAAACTAGACTTGATAAGGAACATGCCATAAAAATTACATCAAAAAATTTCACAGAAAAGGTGGTCAAACGCCACCGTCCGAACGGCGGTTCCTGTCCGGAATTTCGGATATGAACTTTCCTCTATATAAAGGTAACTAATAAATTTCTAGGGCCCTAATTTTTTCACCAAATTTGTGGGCCCGAGGCAGTTGCCTCTTTGCCTCACCTAGAGGTTCGGCCCTGGCCGCCGGAGACCAAACATCTGTCTTTCATCTCTGCACAACCTTCGTCCATCAGAGGCCACTGGGAATCTTGTTCTCAATCATTGCAAGATTCGGCCCTCACCGCCTATACACATCTCTCTTCCCTCCGCTTAATCACGGCAACGCAAAAGAAGAAAAGTAGTCGCACAATTGATGGTGGAAGAATAACCCCTACGTAGAGGGAACGTGACTGTCTTTTGCTTTTTGTAAAACAAGAGTGCTCTCTTCCGTGTAAAATTTTTTGTTAATACATTAAAAAATGGGAAAATTATCAATTTAATTTTCGTAGTATCACGAAAAAATCAATTAGGTCCTGGTACTTTTAAAGAAAAACAATCAAATCCCCAAACTTTGCAAAAACGTCAATTAAGTCTATTTGCAGGTTACTTGTCATGTCAGCGGGTCACCCGTTGATGCGGCACACATGTGGCAACACAATCAGCAGTGACTTTGCTGATGTGGCACACATGTGGAAGTCCAATCATCCATTTGATGATGATGTGGTGCGCATGTGGACTGCTACGTCAGCAGTTGACATGCTGACATGGCAAGTAACATGTAAATGGACTCAATTGAACGTTTTCACAATTTTTTATGGATTTGATTGATTTTTAAGAAGTATCAAGGCCTAATTGACTGTTTTGTGATAGTACGAGGACCAAATTGATAAAGTTCCCTTAAAAAATTAATTTAACCTAAGTAACGTACATGAGTAATGTAAAAGTCAAAATGTTTCAAATTAGGGCCATTCTTAAGAAAATGAGGACTATGTGCAACACTAAAAATTAGGTATCTTTTTTTTTAAATCTCAAGTTAAAAATTAACGATCTAAAACCTTATAATATCAGTTTGTTAGATGAAGTAAAAATTTAAGCTAAAACTTAATCATATGAATTTGATAGTTTTTAAGTTCAATTATTATAAATTATCCAAACATAATTACTTAATTAGAAAACAGACTAAATTAAAAGTCATCATAAAGTACTTAGTATAAGATAATAATCACAACATATAAGAACATATGTCTTATAAATGAAATTTTGAGACTTAATTATTCGCTACCTATCAGATGAAGTATGTGAGTTCGTTAATTACATTTGTGTGTGTGGGATATGATTAGATTAACTCCAATTATATTAATACGGAGTAATAATTAACTGAATTCTTTTGGGTCTCCCACATTTCGGGCATTGTGCAAGCTGCAACTAATAAAAACGGATGTACTAAAATGATAGGAGCTGGTTTGATGAATTTTACGTTCTGTTTTTCACTCTACCAATTTTTTTACCACAACAACAACCAAGCTTTATTCGCAAAAAGTCTTTGGGGTCGGCTAACATGATCCGATCAATGATATTAGAGTCAAAACGAGAAGAAAGGTAAGAAAAATAGAAAGATGAAGTAAAATAAAATGAATATAGTAAAGATAAATACTTGTATAAGATAAAAGTAACATAAGAACATAAGAAAGATTAAAAGATAAAAGAGCATAAGAAATGTAAAAATAGCATAAAAATATAGAAAGATAAAGAAGAAGAAATATAATAAAAATTAGTCCTCATTTGGAGATAAAAGTAAGAAAAATAGAAAGGTAAGAAAAATAGAAAGATGAAGTAAAATAAAATGAATACAATAAAGATAAATATAAGATAAAAGTAACATAAGAAAGATAAAAAGATAAAAGAGCATAAGAAATGTAAAAATATCATAAAATATAGAAAGATAAAGAAGAAGAAATATAATTAAAAAAGAGTCCTCATTTGGAGATGCGGGGTATCGATCCCCGTACCTCTCGCATGCTAAGCGAGCGCTCTACCATCTGAGCTACATCCCCTTTTTACCATTATTTTACGATAGCTAAATACTTCCTCCGTTCTAAATTAGATGCAACACTTGCCATTTTTGGAAATTTCAAATTAGTTGCAACCTTTCCCTTTTAAGAAACAAATAATAGAGTAAATGGCTTTAATGCCCTTAGGTATTCTACACCCATTCTGAACCTTCTCTCTCTTTATTCTCTACCTACGACCATCCTTCTTCTACCACAAACCCACTCTCCTCCTTTAATTCATTCCACCCACTTCTTCTCTTATTTGTACCAATCTGTTAATCTCATTTAATTGTTTCCATCTGCATCTTCCATTATCTTCTCTTTTCCCAGTATCATCCTTAGTAACTTGAATTGCTTTGTTGTTTAGTGTCGCTGAAATGGAGAACTTGCCAGGAGATTTGAACGAAGATGAAATCGATCTCTTTGCTCCACATGCTCCACATACTCCACCTCGAGAAACAACACCCGCAGACACGAATTTGGTGGTTCTCGATACTCCTCCTCACATTCTTGCTGCAAGAGAGAGAGGCTGTTCGATTACACCCAGATTGTGGGCAAAACTTTTGTTGCCGTCCATATCGCCGGTGCAGGAGGTCGCATCCAAAATGCCAGCGAAGATGGAGATGGTTTACCATCCGATTTTCGGTTACCAGACAATCTACATGATGGAGTTTTTAAAGATCTTTTGGCCCAACCAGTTTGAAGAGGAGGGTTTCTCCCCAAGAGGTAATTCTCTGGCAATTTTCATGTATGTAATTGATTTTGGATCTAATTACTAGCAACTATATATGCATCCATTTAATACTGTAATGTGTAGATTTTAAAATAAAAACAAGATTCCTTTTTCATTTCTATTTATTTCTATAAATATCATGGGCTTTTTTGTGCATGTTTTTTTGTTAGAAACAACTTCAATTAAAATACTTAAAGAAATAGATATACAAACTTGACATATAAGGCCAACCTGTTTCTGCCATATCAAAAGTATTACAAAAATCAAGCTTTCTAAACTAGACAGTCAACAAAATGAGGTAATATAACCAAAAGAAGGTTGCCATAGTTAGAACCTGGGATGTATACCCCTAGGCAGTGTAGCAAAAAAGTGGCAGCATTACAAAATTATCCCAAAAAATACATATCTATTGCGTGAAGTTTAATTAAGTGTAAGTGTAGTATTGGAATCTACACCCACACTAAACTGATTTTCACCTTCCATTAAGTATTGCCTGGTTTCTTCAATTAATTCTTCTGGAATTTCAACTTGTTCTGGCAGTATTCCCATGCTGTCTAATTTCCTCTTTGACGCGTGGGGATTCTTGTAGTTATTTCCACCTTTGACTTTCAACACTTCTAACATAATGTATTGAAGATGCAACCACATGTAGTTTAAGAGTTTTGGATCAAAGCTATGATATGCATCATTGACAGCCTTTATTAGTTCATCCACATCTCTAGGAAAAGCTTTATATTGAATAGATTGAATAGCTCTAAAAAATCCAAGATCAAGTACGTTAAAATCTGGACTTTGGGCGGGCTGACAAGTCAATCTAATATTGAATCCAAAAGCAGTGGCAGCCTGTTTGAATTGTTCATCATGCACACTTATATGAGGTCGTGCATTGTCTTGTTGAATCCAAATGTCTTTGCATGCATTAGAAGGCCATTTTTCCCTAATTGCTGGCAAAACTGAATCAATAAATTTTGCTCTTTTAATTACTGTAGCACCTTTCTTAATTCTTGTGTCCAAGTCTATGTTGCATCTAATTTAGAACGGAGGATAGTATGTGGTTTGTTTTGCCGCCTTGATTGGCTAAAATCTCTATGTGAACTATTTATGGTATTTTTCATTTGATTTTTTCTAAATTTTATTCACAAAATGCATTTTAAATAAGTTTTTCATAATTCAACTAATTCAATTGTTTCCGCCAAAAATTTCACTAAGTTTTTCCCCAACTTAAATTCATATTCTACCCAATAGGACCTATTATCTTCATTGTTATTCCAATCAGGTGAGAAAAGTCATAATATTTGTGACACATCTCTTACTCTATTGCTATTTTTTAACTATTCTTATTAGGGGTCAACGTCGGCAAATCTAACTGAACTATATCAAATCGAATCATATGCAATTTAATTTGAATTGTTACTATTTGTTCCAAATCATATTAAACTTTACTGGATTGAAATCGAGAATAACAGAATAAAACTAAACCAAAATTTAAAAACCAATAAAATATTCATATATTATTAAAAATAGTAAATCCAACCCGATCCAAATCGAACATAACCGAATTGAAACATAGTATGATTTTTATTTCGTAATCGTACTTTCAATCCATTTCCAACCGAACTAAACTGGAAACCGATAAAAATATAACCAAAATCTATATGTCCACCCTATTTCTTTGACTCATAATCAAAAGATGACATTCATCTTAATCAAACTATCACGCTCAAATAATGATAAACGAAAGTTTTATCACCATATTTTATGTACTCGGTATTATTATCAAGGGTTACTATATTTCAAACATAGGTTGGACATGAAAGAAAGGGAGTTTATCAAAATGACAAGGTAAAGTTTATTCCGTATGCATGCTTATAGTGAGTGTGAGGCCCTTCTGCATACTAAAATAGATAAAATTATATGCAATATCTTTCTATATACAAAAGCAAGAGGAAAAGTGCACAGTATTCCCGCCCAAAATGCGGGTCAAAATATGGTCATCTGTATTGGGTCGGGTCAAAATACATGGACAGTGCATTGGTTTGGTCATCCGTTGAAATAGCATTGGCGACCATTGGGCAGTGCACCAGGTAACCGGATAAAAGTGTTGCCCGTCGTATCATACATTAATATCCTTTGTTTAATTAAAGAGCATGCGTAATTAACCAGTCAAACAAAAAGTAAAAAAATAAGTGATGTGAAATCTGTCAGTCATTTGGCATATATTCATGCTTTTTAAGGGCATGCGTATACAAGATACAAGGGTGAGCTGGAAAATGTACTCTATAAGATACGGAGTATCAAAAAGTACTCTAAAGATATCAAAATTTATCCCAGTCAGTGTTGGGAGGTGTGTAATTTATTTGTATCGAGACCCGAACCATAAATGGGTGAGCTGTAAACCACACTCACATACCCATCTCTATAAAAACCAGGGAGCCTGGCCAAAGGAACACACATGAAAAATAAATCACTCTGCCTCATCTCTTTCCCTCTCGGCTTATGAACCTACAATAAGCATGAATGTCTTTAGATGTACATTTACATCACACACACACACAACACACAGATACATACACACACACACACACATATATATATATATATGTGTATATATATATATATAGGGTTTGATTCAAGTAAGAACACTACTTAGGGAGCTAAATAAGAACGGTTTGGAACCGTAGATCTGTGAAATCGGATGGTGAGATTGAGTGCAAAAAATGGACAACCAGTTTTTTCAGAAAAGGAATGAAATTAATATAAGCTTGTGGTCAACCTACAAATTTTCACGTGAGGGGTAATTGGGACATTTTATAATTTAAAAAACGCACGCTGGGTGCAGGAAAAGGCGGTTGTGGTTTCCGAATCCCAACATTAACGCCATTACCAAAGATAGAACACCTGGATTTGGTAACTTCCTTCTAAACAGGGCAAAGTAAATTAAACCTTGGAGAGAAGAGAGACGAGGTCGAGTGCAAAACGAGAACAAGCGACGAGTGATACCACGAATGACGCAACAATGGAAGGTGTGATTTCAATCAGCAGTGCTTCAAAAACCGTCGTTGAAGCAGTCGTCGAGACCAGTAAGTTCATTGCATTTGTTAATATTTGAAATCTATAAACTCACATAGCATTTGGAAAGGAGTCCATAGTATCATTATACTTTAATTTCGTGGGTTGCAGGAGGAGAAGATGTGAGTTTGAGAGCTTGCAAGAACGGCCCAAGTATAGTGCAAAACTTGGTGGTGGACGACGCTGGAGAAGAAGAAACTGGTGCATCCAAAGAAGAATGTAAGTTTCATGGTACTGTAAAGTTCATTTAATGAATTTGATCGGATACGGAATGCACAATTAGGTAAGCAGATTTGTGATAAATAGCTAGTGTGGTGTTGATTTTGATTTGTGGGATTTCAAGTGAATTTGTGGTAAATTAGATTAAATTTGTGAAATCCCTAGGCTGCAATGTGTGTTACTTATACAAACGGAATGTGCATTTAGATAAAATTAATTGTGCATGACTAATTGCGTTAACTTGTGGAAATCCTAGTGTGAGTGGAGTAAGTTGTGGAATGTGCAATGTGTGTGATTTGATTTATATAAATGGATTGTGCATGAGATGGAGTGATTTGTGTCAGATAGGTGAATCAATGTGAAATTCGAGAGTGTGTAGTGTGTGGGTTTGAGAACAACATGGACTCTTTGATTTATACAAAGGGAATTGTCAACTACTTGACTTGTAGTTGCATTTAGCTAAAAACATTTGTGCATGACTAATTGTGTGAATTTGATTGCGTGTGTGTGGAAAAGAATGAGCTTTGGGCAGGATTGTGGGTGCATGACCAATTGAGTTAATAGAGTAGAGTTTGTGTGGAAAAGGATGATATGTGGTGTGCATTGTGGGTTCATGACTAATTGTGTTAATGTATTTGAATGCGTGTGGAAAAATATGTTATGGTGTGTAGTGTGTGTTCTTTATATCAAATGAGATGTGCATTTAGGTAGAAGCATTTGTTCAAAAGTTGGTGAATGCATGTGTGCAAAACTGGGAGCATGATTTATCTGATGCACGCATTTTGCTAAAAGCATTTGTGCAAAATGTCATGTATGACTGTGAAACAATTATATCTGGGAGTATGACTAATCAAACTTGTTATCTTGTGATTTGTGTTATATGTGATGTGGTCATGCATGCATGTCACCAGAAATAATATCTTTATGCAGTTTTTTTCCCGATTATGCAACCTTGGCATTGCTATGTTATATGTTTCAATCTGATGTATCAGCAATGGGAGATTCTAGATGTGTCAACGTCGACACTGAAGGTTGCTGAAAAGTGCGGTGAAATGACTAGCATTGTGGTAAGAGGAATTGATTATATAAGTAATAAGTAAATATTATAAAAGGTGAGTGCATTAATAGATACTAAAAATAATCATTTCTATTGTTTGAATTAAACAGAGAGATATGTTTGTGCATTACATGATTGTGATTGGAGTGGGTAACAAGGTGAAGGTGCTGGAGAAAGCAAAAGTGAAGAAAGTTGTGATGAACTGACGCCATGAAAACTATGAGTTTGAATACGGTGTGCTAACAATGAGAGTCATGGAGACGTATATGGGCCAAGGAAGTAAAGGTTGGGACATTGGAATAAAAAAGGGAGAGAAGAAGCACATCGATACATTAAGGGTGAGGTATTCTGCCACAATACTTTCAGCGGACTACAACGAGATGAAGAACAAAAATGTGCAAGAGATTAAGAAGGATGCAAAAGTGAAGAAGCAAGACAAAGGAAAAATAAAGAAGTGAACTGAGTTGTTTGTCAAACATTACTACATTTGTTTGTGGAATTTCTTGTTTTTGTATAATTGGGTTTTGGTTGTGATGTTTGATTTGAAGGTTAAAACGTTTTTAGACAAAGTCTTTTTTGCATGGTTTTGATGACTGATATATTGGTTATTGAATTTTTGTGTGTTAATTTAGTTCAGAGGTTAATTTAGTTCTGGTGTGAAAAAGAATGAGCTCTGGTGTGCAAAAGAATGAGCTATGGTTGTCTAATTGTGTTAATTTAATGGAGTGCATGTGGAAAACAATTAGATATGATTTGCATTGCGTGTGCATGACTAAAATTGAGTTAATATACTTAACTTTGTGTGGAAAAGGATGATATGTGGTGTGCATGACTATCTTATGATGACTTTGATTGAGTGCGTGTGGAAAAGAATGAGATTTGGTGTAGAAAAGAACTGAGCTCTGGTTGTGTTAATATTGAAGTCGTGCAATTTAGAATATTGGAGTGTGCAATTTAGAATGTTCCGGTGTGCAACTTCATTGATTTAGCGAAAAAACATTAGTGTTGATCGTGTGAGGTGCAAAGTGAAATGAAACGTATAAAATGGGAAATAAAAGTTAATATTAGATTGCAATCTAGACTGTGGACAATTCGTACATGTATTTTTTTTTACCAACAATTGATGAATGTTAAGTACCCGTTGCGCGTATTTCAACTAAGACATTGCGCGTATTTCAACTTAGACAATTTGTACCCGTTGCGTGTATTTTGACCAACTAGTACACGATTAGGTTTTGGATTAAACAAATATTATGATGAGTTGAAATTGTACGAGGGAAAATTGTGCATTATTAGAACTTATATGTGCAAAAAAAGTATACAAATTGTATGACTAATTACATATGTGTCGGTGATGCTTGTTCTTCAATATTAAAGTGTGCAACAAATTACCATGTCATTTGCTCACAATGATAATTATGTGACCAAACATAAGGATTGATTACAGGTAAAACAATTTGCAATAAAAAGGTGAATTGTATTACTATTGTGATGTTTTTGAAAATTAAACTGTGCCCAAAAAGGTGCAAATTTAATGACTAAAAACACCCATAGCATTGTAATCATTTAATATAATGACTAACAATAACAAAGAAATATTAATTAGGTGTGTAGTGTGTAGGCTAATTGTGCATGACTAATTAGATTTTGATGATGCTATATTAATTAGGACTTTAACGAGAAAATTTAATCTAGTCACTAATTGTGCATGAGTAATTAGATGCTATAATGACTAATTAATACATAATTTAATGACAATTAGTGTAGTGTTTTTAGTCATGACTAGATTAGTCAATAGGTGAGTAGAGTTTAATGACTAAATATAATGACCAAAAAAAGGCTTTAACGAGAAAATTCTAATACATAATTTAATGACTAAAAATATGTTATGGTGTGTAGTGTGTGTTCTTTGTAATTAGATTTTGATGATGCTATATTAATTAGGACTTTAAAGTACCCCTTTTAGAAATTATGTATTAGAATTTTCCTTTGTAAAGTTCTTAGCATAATCGACTATCAGAAGGCCTCCCTACCAGAAGACCTCCTGACAGAAGATCTTTGGCTCTCTGCCGAGGAACAGAAAACCTCAGGGTCTCTGTTACCCTTTAGTTTGACAGAAACCCTCCTGGTTCTCTGTAAGCTATTACCAACAGAAGTGCTCAAGACCTTCTCTGATCAGTTCTCTGCTAAAGACACCAGAAGGTCTGACACTTAGAAGAATTCCACAAAACCGGGAAATCAACTGAAAGATTCCTTCAACGGCTAGGAGTATTGAACGGAAAAGCTACAGTACGCGCATTAAATGCTCATTTAATGCTCCCCATGCTCCGTAGAGTAATTGCAGATGATTGGCCGCAATGTCAGGATTACCTTATCCCAAAATAGTAACCCGCCAACTTTACCGGGTCCTACTGGTCAAGTCAACTGCTCGCTCATTTAATGCAGTTGTCCTCCTACTCCTCCAACGGGAAGACAACCTCAGTATAAAAGATACACTACGAAGAACAACCGGTGTAACTTTGCAATTTTTGCTAAACATTGCTACAACTCTTCATACAAGAAATTCAAACTCTGAAAAGCAAAAAGCCTCCTTGAGATCAACACTTCATCATCTTCTACAAGAGAAGGCAGAAGTTGGAAAGATACTTTTTCCAACTCAAGCAAAGTTCCAAGTGTTCTTCAACTCTTCAAGCTCATCACTTACAAATCCTTTGTAACGAAGCTAGTTGGAGGAACCCCTGTTTTAACAGAAACTCTTCTTGCTACAAGAAGGACGTCCAAGTAACTTGAGTTGTGAAGTGGTGATACTTCCAGGAATCTCAGTGAAAGGACCGGTCTTAAAGGAAGCCAGGCAGTGCATCCCAGGAGACATCTAGGCTTGAAGAAGACGTGGAGAGCTTCTTAAGTACTAGGACTAAGACGTTGTAAACGGGCGTTTTTACAAGCTTAGTGGAACAGTGGATTAGAGGAACGAGTTGTTCCTTGAACCACTATAAAAATCCCTGGTGTCATTTACTTACTGCTTTAATATTTGCACTTAGATAGAACTGTCTAACTCCTCAGACTTGGTATCTGTGTTCAGCAGAACTTGTCCTACGAGTTAACAGAAGGCCTACTGCCTTTGCTTCTCTGAGGCTAAATCAACAGAACTCCCTACCAGAACCCCATCCGCTGCCAGTCTGTTCTGTCAACAGAACAGGCTATTCTGTAAAATCTGGTACTTAGTTTTAAAAGCTAAAAACCAATACAGTCTATTCACCCCCTCTAGACTGTATCCAGTACAACCGGGACCAACAAGTGGTATCAGAGCCTCCTTGTTCTAATAATCTCTTAGGTTATTTGCTGAACAAAGATCCATTTGTTTCTCTGTTTGACCTCATTTCTATCTGATATAATGGATCACTCCTTGTCCAAGAATCTTATGTTCTCAGATCTGAAGTTTGATGACTGGAGGATCCGGATGAAAGCACATCTCTGTGCCCTGCATGATGAGATGTGGGAAGTTCTTGATATTGGCCCTTTCACAAGCTTCCAGAAGGTCAATCCTGAGCATGCTATTGACAACACCAGACCCCAGATGATCAGTAAAGCCAAGTCAGAATGGACCACTGAAGAGAGAAGAAAGTACAACCTGGACAATATTGCTAAGGACATCCTCTACAAGTCCATTGATGATAGGTACTTCAACAGAATAAAGAAGTGCAAAACTGCAAAGGAAATCTGGGATACTTTTGAGCTCATTGGAGCTGGTGATGAGCAAGAGAAGGACAACAAACTGACTATAGCCAACAAGAAGTTTGATGACTTCAAACTTCTCCCTGGTGAAAGCATCTCCAAGATGTATGACAGGCTCCTCACTCTCACTGGAGAGATCTCTGAGCTTGACAAGGAACTCACCACCAAGGAGATCAACCTGAAGGTGTTGAGGGGACTGCCCTCAGCATGGAAAATGAAGGTAGTTGCTGTCCAAGCCAGCAAGGATGTAAAGACTTATCCCACCGATAAGCTCATCTCTGATCTCAAAGCTCATGAGTTCGAGATGATTGAAGAAAAGGAAGATGTACCAGAAGAGAGGACCACTACAGGCCTCACTTCCAGCACATCAAAGGTAAATGACTTTGACCCTTCAGTACTTTTATCTGACGAATATATGACTGCCTTTGCCAGGAGATTCAAAAAGTTTATGAAGAATCCCAAAGATGGAAGGAGTCCATCTTTCAACAGAAAGCCATACCAGAAGGTCAAAACAACATAAAGGAGTGGTGAGCTTCTCTGTTACAATTGCAGACAATTTGGTCACTTCAAGGCTGATTGTCCCCATCCAAGGGTGTCCAAGAAACAAGGACATGATGGAGAAAAGAAGAAGTACGAAGATAACTCTAGAAGGAGAAAGATACTTGTGACAGAACAACTAGAGAAAGACCCTCTGTCAGAAACAGAATCCAGTTCTGACTCAGATTCTGATGAGGCATTCTGTTGCCTTGATACTGAGACAGAAAACCTTTGCCTCATGGCTCATTCTGATGATGAGGAACTGTGTGCTGGAGCTATCTCTGAACAAGAATGGTTTATTGATAGTGGATGCTCCAGGCACATGACAGGTGACAGAAGTTGCCTAACAGAGTTCCAGAAATGCAAAGGACCTAGAGTTACCTTTGGAGGTAATGACAAAGAAGGTCAAACAAAAGGAAGAGGGAAGCTGATCAAGAACCAGATAGTCATTGATGATGTCTCATATGTCAAAGGACTGAAGTTCAACTTGCTAAGTGCTAGCCAATTCTGTGACAAAGGCTACACTGTTGAATTCACCAAGGACTTCTGCTATGTGAAGCATGAGACAACAAAGGAAGTGGTTCTCACAGCATCAAGAAAGAAGAACATCTATGTAGTTGATTGGAACACTACAAAGGATGGAGTTTGCCTGATAGCCAAAGGAGATTCAAAACTGAGCTGGGACTGGCACAAAAAGCTCAACCATTTGAATTTCAAAACAATCAACAAACTGGCCAGAGAACACATTGTAGAAGGGCTACCAGACATTGTGTACAAGAAGGAGACCCTCTGCAGTGCATGTCAGAAGGGCAAACAAGTGAAGAATTCCTTCAAACCCATTGCTGGAGATCTTTCTACAAGTCCTCTAAATCTGATTCACATGGATTTATTTGGACCTGTTGAGACTCCAAGCGTTGGTGGAAAGAAATACACCTTAGTCATGATTGATGACTACTCCAGATATACATGGACTATTTTTCTATCAAAGAAAAATGAAACTCTTCAGAAGTTGTCATCTCTGTTAAAGCAACTTCAGACTGAGAAGAATTTGAAAGTGAAGACAATCAGATCAGACAGAGGAACTGAATTTGTCAACCAAGTCATAAAGGACTTCTGTGATCAGAATGGGACTTTTCATCAACTTTCTGCCGCGAGAACCCCTCAACAGAATGGCGTAGCAGAAAGAAGGAACAGAACTTTAAAAGAAACTGCAAGAACAATGATTGCAGAATCTGGATTGCCTATGAGATATTGGGCTGAAGCAATCAACACTGCATGCTATACTCAGAACAGAAGCATGATCAACAAGAATCACCAGAAGACCCCTTATGAACTCTGGAAGGGAAGAAAACCTAACATCAGCTACTTTCATGTATTTGGATGCAAGTGCTACATTCTTAACAATGGAAAGGAGCATCTG